TATTCATATTCAGAGTTGTGCAATGATTACTGCAATTTTAGTATATTTTCATCACCTCAGAAAGAAACTCCAGGCTCTTAAGCTTTCACCTCTCTATCCTTCCATCTACCTCAGCCCCTGGCAACCAGTAATCTACCTAATTTACTGATTCTTGAATTTCATAGGAATGGACTCATATAATAGATGGCCTTCTGTGACTGGCTTCTTTCACTTAGCATCATTTTTTTCCAGGTTCATCCATGTTGTAACATTTATCAGTACCTCTCTTTTTATGGCTAAATAATACTCCATTGTGTGAACATACCACATTTTGTTTATCTACTCTTCCTACTGATGGGTCAAAGGTTCTTTAATTAAAAAAAAAAGGTCCAATGCTGATGCTCAGCCTCCCCCACTGACAAAGCAGTCTTCATGATTGCTGTTGCCTGGCCACCTTTTATTATGGCCAAGGTCTCCTTACTCAGAGAGGCAGGGGGCTCAGCAGTGTCAGGAAAGACTTTCAGAGGAGGAAGTTCTGGTTTTAAGTGATAGCAGGTGACAGTGATGACAGAGGGGGGATCTCTTTGTGTGCCCTTCTGCCTGCATTCCAGGCATTCTGCACTGTGGGCCCAGGCGCCCTCCTCCTCAACAGGCCAGCCCTTCTCCCACATGGCTCACATTAGCCAGGAAAGGCCTTGAGGGGCTAGAGTGTGGTCTATACAGCAGGCAGGCATGAGTGAATCCTTAGCCAGTGCCAACTCCACCAGGGCCTCAGCAGTTCAGTCTGACATCCCTTGCCAGGATCCAGATGCTGTCTCAGGCCACCTGTACCTTGGCGCTGTAACCTGGCCTTCTCTCCGCAGGTTTGCCAAGTACTACAGCGACCCGAACGGTGCTGAGCGCCGCACGCTCATCAAAGCCTATGGCATCCGCTTTGACATCATCGTGTTTGGAAAGGTAGCCTGGCCACTGGTTCCCCTTGTTCAGAGCCCACTAGTCTTCTTCTGGGCTGGCCGGGGAGCAGAGGGCCCACTCTCTGCCCCCATCACAACTTTTTCTTTTTCTCCTATCACTAACAGGCTGGGAAATTTGACATCATCCCCACCATGATCAACATTGGCTCTGGCTTGGCGCTCTTAGGGGTGGTGAGTGGTTCATTTAGACTTTCCAGTTACTCATCCCCGCCCCCACCCTGCCCCAGGGTTGCAGCCCTCCCAGCAGTGGGTAGCACCGCAAGTTGAGACCCTCCACTGCCACCCTGGTTCTTCCCCTCCACCCCAGACTTGTTTCTAGTCTCAGCCCTCCAGGCTTGTTTCCCTTTCCCTATCCTGCTCTCTCTACCTGCCATTCTTTAAGACTATGTCCCTTGGGGCCTAATCATTTCCCCCAAGAGATGGGGGGAGCCTTTCCTTTCCTTGGAGGACCCCAGGCGTCATGGGAAGCAGAGACCACAGCAGCTTGGCTCATTCTTTCTCGCCCTGTGCTACATTCAGGCGACAGTGCTGTGTGACGTCATAGTCCTCTACTGCATGAAGAAGAGATACTACTACCGCGAGAAGAAATATAAATATGTGGAAGATTATGAGCAGGTAGGCCGCCTCCTGAACTCCCAGCAGGCAGGAAGGCCAAAGCGCCTGACCTCACCTGCCTCTTGTACCAGTGGTGAGAACCCAGTACATTTAGGTGTATTGTCCACCCAGGCAGTCACACACCACTCTCATCATCCACTCCATTTCTGGACCATCTGTACTAACATTTGCTTCATACTTGTCTTCAGATGGACTCACCCTTTAAAATCTAGCCTCATTTTAAACAGTGACATCTCAGGCTAGTTAGAGCTTGCCTGGTAGCTTAGCTGGTAAAGAATCCACTTGCGATGCAGGAGACCTGGGTTCGATCCCTGGGTTCAATCCCTGGGTTGGGAAGCTCCCCTGGAGGAGGGCATGGCAACCCACTCCAATATTCTTGCCTGGAGAATCCCCATGGACAGAGGAGCCTGGCGGGCTACAGTTCATGGGGTTGGAAAGAGTCGACTGAGCGACTAAGCACAGGTTAGTTATGAGAATGTAGCATGACGAAATCTGTGTCCACACTCTACTTAAATTTGACTTGTAGAGCAAGAAAGGCTGGGTACCTCTAGGATTTACCTGAGTACTTTCAGTTGTGAAGGGTCATCCAGATGTCCTCAAGGAAAGTGCCTGACCCTCCTTTGCCCCTGATGGTCCAGGCTTACCTGTAGGCAGCAACTGGTGGGTGCACACATATCCATAAGCGCATCAACTGATGACAGGCATGTTGTTCTTTGCAGGGTCTTGGCAATCAGATGGACCAGTGATGCCCGCCCCTCACCTGGGCTCTCCACGGCCCTCATCAGAGCACAGCGAGGAAGGAGGAAAGGCTGCCATATCACCCCAGAGGAAGTTCCAGATTCTGAGTCAAGTCTCCACAAGTACTGCAGGGTTGTCCAGCTGCTCCCATGTTCTCTGAGTAGGGTTTGTGTAGTAAACCACCCTGCACAGTGGCAGCTGGGTCACCTCTGCTGCTCCTTCAATTTAGCATCACTGGGGTGAGCTCTGGCCCAAGGCCAGTGACGCGACTATGGCTGCAGGGCCGGGGGCCTTCTCCAGGGCCGGCTTTCCTCAGAATCTTCCATCTCCAGCCCCCTGGGAGACCAGGCCGGTCCTCCAAGGCCCAGCAGCTCCGTTCAAGCACTTTATGAGGAAGGCAGGACACCTGGGTGTGGTCGTAGCTCTTTAGCACTCTGGGCCGCTGTTCCTCTTCCCCCAACCGAGGCTTCAACCCCACACTTGTGAGGCTGAGCCCGTGTTTTTCCTTTGTGAAGAGCTACACTGAGATGACTGAGGACCAAACATTAAAACAAATGACTTTCTTAACCTCTGTGTGGTTTCACAGCATGGGCTAGAACTTTCCTTCCTTCCCTTTTATTTCAGCCAGTAAATCCACCTGTTACCCCAGCTCACTGTGTTCAGAAATGTTCCTGAAACAAGTCTATTGCTGGAGCTTAGTTTCCCCCCCACCCACTACTTTAACCTTCTCTTAAAAGCCTAAGAAGTCTGGTTCTTCATTAGCTTATGTTCCTATGGAGTTTACAAGATTTTTTTTTCCTGTGGTCTCTTACCTGTGCTTACATTTTACATAAAAGTGTGGGTGTATACTACAGGGAACACAGTTTTAGGGGACACGAAGTTGGCTTATCCTCCCTCCCCATTTGCTTTCCAGAAGCCTTGAACCAAAAGCAGCACCAGCTCCATCTACCTTGCCACCGGTTTGAAATGTTAATGAAGCTATTTCTGGCCTGGGCTTCACACCGACTTCATTCTGCATCAGGTGTTCAGCGTCTCCCTAAAGGAAGCAGCCTGCCTCTCAGCCTTGTCAGGAATTCATTTCCAACTGTTAAAGGGAACATTTATTTTAGAAGTGCTCTGCTTCTGTGGGGTAAATGACAACCTGGGCTTTTCTTGCTTTGGGAGAGGGAAAAAAAAAAGTTTACTGACCCCTTTGAAAAAGTTCTGGTTCAAGCTGCCTTCTCCCCCCAGCCATGGGACACAATGTGGATCTCAGTTGCCTGACCAGGAATCAAACCCATGCCCCCTGCATTGAAAAGCAGATTCTTAACCACTGGATCACCAGGGAAGTCCCTTGAGCTACCGTTTTGAAAAATGCCTGCTTGAACACACGGGTCCCATGGAGCTTCACTGTTTAGGAAAAGTTTATTGTCTTGCAGGCTAAGGAGTCATGGTTGCTGGAGTGAGAGAGACTTCTTACCGCCCACCTCTTTCTAAAGATGGGGTGAGGGCTGGGGGTGGCACTGATCTTGAACTCGCCAGAATTACCTTGCGTTCTGCTAACAGCCCCACTTGTTGGCACTCCTTGGCGCTGCCTCTTAAGTAGAGCTTTTTCAGCCTTGCATCCATGGATGACCTTCCAGGAGATTCTGAAACCCCTAAACCTCTGCAAAGTAAGGCACCTGTGGGCATTTCTTTTCACTTTCATCAGATTCTCCACGGGGGGAGGGGAGTCTTTAAATAGCAACAGTATTTCAGGGCTGTTATTTCTGCAGTAAGGGAACAGGAGTCTTTCAGACTTCATCCACTGTCCCCTGATAACACAGAACTGAAGTTCAAAGCCAGTAACGCAGCGCCGTGGGCTGGATTCACATTTGAAGCGCAGGGAACCTTCAGCCCACAGTCTGGAGAAAGCAGCAGTTCTAAAACAGTCTCTCCAGACGTCATGAAAGCTGGCAACCATCAAGGCTCTGCAGAACACTGAATTAGTTGATAAATTCAGAGCCTTTTCTGAGCCTGTTTACAGATGACGACCCGTAAAATGGGCTCAACACCCACCTTATGCGGTAAAGTGTCACGTAGCATGACTGCCCACAGGATGTATTCAGTGTGTGATTAAACTACTCCCATAACAGCTCACCTGTTTGGTCTTCACCAGAAGAATCTATCTGGCAGTGAGCTGCCCCAGAGCAGTGCATTGCAAACTTCAGCATCAAGTGAGTCACCTGGGGATCTTGTTTAAATGGGGCCTGGGAATCTGAATTGCTCAGCCACTCCCAGGTGACACTGATACTGCTGACGTGGGGACCGCCCTCTTAGTAGGGAGGTACTCTCGTGCTCAGTCGTATCCGACTCTTTCTGACCCCATGGACTGTGGCCCACCAGGCTCCTCTGTCCATGAGCTTTTCCAAGCAAGAATATTGGAACAGGTTGCCATTTCCTACTCCAGGGGATGTTGTGGATCCAGGGATCGAATCCTCATCTCCTGCACCTCTGCATTGGCAGGTGGATTCTTTACCACTGCGCCACCTAGGAAGACCCAGGGAGGTACCAGGACATGCTTAAATTAGGGATTTGCTGAGTACATCAGCCCTGACTTGGGCATTCAATTTTGCTGTCAGCCTAAGGAAGGAAAACAGACATGAGGACAGATGACCTCAAGACCACTGACTTAATTAACCAAAAAAAAAAAGAAAAAAAAAAATCCCAAAGAGGCCGACTTTGCACCATTTTAATGTTTATTTCAAGTTTACAGAGAAGCTTAAACATTTGTGGAAAAACACTGAAGGCTTATTTTTCTCTTAAGTTCATGTACTTTTCAGTGATAAATACACAGTATTTAACTTTGTACACCTGATAAAAGGAAAATGCATAGTAGAAAGGATCAGGAATAAAACAGAAGCATCGGGCATGAAATCAACCACAGAATAGAAAAGTCAGTAGTCCCATGAAACTCGGCCTGTAAAGCTGGAGAGAAGATTGAAATCAACAACCTTGAAACCTTCCCTAGCACCTTGGAAGCGAGTGGAAGTCTTGGTTCTTCCCCCTGGTGATGTGAAGCTCCCCTTTGGAAGATGGGTGAGAGCGACAGGTGGAGCCTATGTGTCTACATTGCACAGTTCTTCACCTCATCCTGAAAGGCTTGGAGGACGAAAGCCCTAGCTTACGAGAAAGGCCAGACCAGCGGGTAGATGGCCTCTCCGGCCCCAAGTGCCAGCAAGGGGCTAGATAAGGCTTTATGGGAGCCACTGGCCAGGCTGTGGAACAGATGGGGAAGTGAAACAGGGTGGAAGAAAGATGGGTAGAGAACATGTGCTTCTTCAAGGCCACAGGTGCAGGCCACCGCTTGCTTAAAAATTGGTCCCACAGATGAGCCAGTAATGGAAGAGAAGGATAGGCATCCTTTTTGCTTATGTAGAAAAGCTGCTCATAACAGCTTCTGCCCTTTCCTGACAGAGTTGGCTTTGGGAAAAAGTCAGTGTTTGTGCTCTAAGAGTGGAGACAAACCCCAAGAGTCTGCACTCCAAGTAGCTCTAATGCTTTCTGTTACAGCCCTCTTTGCTCATCCTTTTCTCGGTGGGGTGGTTCTTTTCCACAGCTTTCTTTGGTGTTTCTTAGTGTAAAAAAAAAAAAAAAACAACAGTAATGAACATGGGCCTCCCCCAACCCACCTGCCTGAACAGTTCAGTGCTGCCTGATCGCTGGCTTTCCACATGTGAAATCTTCAATGGAGAGTTTCATGGCCGGAGAAATAGCATCGCCCGATGCAGTTGTGTAAACACAGGAGGAGTTCTGCAGAGGCTATGCATGCTACCAGCCCCTGCCTCTCCGGGCGAGCCCCCCACTATCAGGTCAGCGTCCACACGGACTAAGACGAAGAGCAGGTTGACTTAAACCATTGCAAGGTGCTTATTGCAAACTAACCAGACCCATTTGTTCCCAGGAGGGGTGGAGCCTGTAGATTTAAACAAGCACAGGAGGAAGAAGTACTAGATTACAGAAAGAAAGAGGCCAGAGGACCCTCCATCAGATGGGTGTCCTTGACTCTTGGAAACCAGCCTTCTCTAACTGTACTGCTTATAAGGTAGAAAGAAGAGTCTGGCTAAACGACAGTCAAGAGCTGACGAAGATCTGCGGAAGCTCTGTGAACATACTTGGCAGCAGACACAGACCTGCTGCTCTGTCTCTGCACAAAGTGCCCCTTTCAGCACAGATCAGCCAGAAGCTACAGAAGAGCTCATGCTTCTGATCCCGATCCCCAAGGCAAATTCCACAAAGCACTGGGAATCCCCCAGGCCAAGTCCTTCCAATTTTCCTCCCTCTTGAACCTCACAGTTACCCACACAGGACTCTGGAAGAAGTCACACTTGAACTGCAATTGAACTTCCCAATGTTAGTTGGAAGTCAAAAACATACACTTTTTTCTTTCTGGACTGCTGGCTACAAAAGGGGACTTCCTGTGCCAAGCCCTGGTTGCATTGGATCCGAGGACTGCTTTAGGTTTCAAGAATCTTCTCTAAAAGGGTGCCCTACAGTTATTGTTTAGATCCTAACAGAGCTTTGCCAATAAGGATGATCATTTATGTCTCAGCTGAATCAAAGTATTTCCTAACTAGCCCTCCACAAACTGGATAACTGTTTCACTGACTACAACAATCAGCTAGTGCTGAAGAAGAAAACAGAATCTTAGCAGCCTCTAGAATACACAGGTTATAAGCAAGCTGAGCTGCTAATATACAGGATAGATGTCATTGGCGCTAACTGTGATCACACACCTGAAGCCATGGGATAGCTCCTGGAAGCTCAAAATGGTTTCTGAACTGCTCAAGAGTTCAGACTAGTTAGAGAATTTAAAGTATTTGTTGTTGTTTATTCTTAAGCCATGTAACGTACATGGAAGTGTAGGATTTAATTTCACCCTGAAGTTTCTGTAATTTAACAAGAGATTTACTAGAGCTCCTTCAACTATTTGAGAAAAGTTTCAGCTCTGAGTGGCTGTCATAAACACACTCATTTAATCCTTGAGGGGAGACGTCCCACCATAACCACTGAATGCCCTTCTGGGAATGGAAAATCTGCCCTCCACCAAGCTCTTATGTATCAAGCCCTTTCTGTTTTCCTGATTACAGCTCTACTCATTAAAAAAATTTATAGTCCTTCTTAAGAATAAGTTGCATCGAATCAGGCTGCAGCTGATACTGTGGGCTAACCCTGTCCTGACTCCATGAATCCACATTCTAGAAGGTGCCACGGTTTGGGGTTTTGCACGAAGTCACACCTGCTTTTCCTCTCCCTTTCAAATGCAGCCAAGTGTGGCCTTGGACCACACCACCAGTTTCCTGCCAGTTCTTCCCAATGTTCAAACCTCACACATTCACTTGGTATCTCTTGACACCATTCTGAGTTCACAAGGAAGGATTTTTGGCATAAAAACGTCTTAAAAAGCAATTGTCCCCCAATGCACGTGGCTTTGGGTCTGCAACTCCTCACACCCGCCCATTCAGCCAGCCAGCGGCCAAAGTCGATGTCATGGAGTCGTCATTTTTTTTTTTTTTTGTCCCCTTTAAAACAAGAAAGAAATCAAACAAACTAAAAACAAAACAAAACAACCAGAGATGACGGTCAAGGCTCTACACACGTGCTCGGTTTCCCGTAGGACATGCTGCTATGGAAACACAGGGCGCCGCCAGCGGATGTGAGACGTGCATGCGCAGTCGCGGCGGTCCGGCGGCTACTCCATCACCTCGTCCGGCCGCGCAGGATGAGTGTGCTCTAGGGAGCCGGGGCCTGGGACCCCCCAACTCTCCACGCCAGGGCCGCCTTTCATGAGAGCACTTCCTCCTCCCCTACGGGGGCCGGGTCGGGGCCCTGGAGGCTGTCTTCGCTGCCTTGCTTCCTGCTCACCGAACAAAAAAACCCACATTAAGTCCGGGGGCGATGCAGGCAGGGCCCTGAACCAGTGTCTCTGGCGGTCCTACACTGCCTGGACCGCTATTTACATCTGCTTTTAGAGTCTCTCCTCCTTTTTCTTGCTCATGTGAAAGTTTCGAAGGAGACTTTGCATCTCTTTGGTAAATGGAAAACCAGTATCATGTGCCAAAAATAGCAAGGGATATAAACTATAAACATAGACGCGAACCTATGGGCCTGACACCTAAAACCGTGGCACAGAGCACAGGCCCTATGGACTCCACACTGGGGCCTGTTCACAGAGAATGTAGGCATCTTCGCTTCCCCCGCTTTAGGCTCTAAGCTCTTGCAGGGCAGGAACCGTGACTGTCTTCAGTCTCCAGGTGTGTTTCCTGGGGGACACAAGCAGGACCACCTGACTTGGCCTGGCACAAAGCCAGCCTTCAGGACATGGTTATCAACAGAAATATGCTCAGCACACAGGCCCAAGGGATGCCTCCAACAGAGAGAAGGGCCCTCATCTTGGCAATGTGTGACCAGAGCAGAAGAGACTAGATTGGTAGGGAAGTGTCCCCATGTCCCCAAGAGGCCATACCCCGAAGTGCCCCCAGCTACAGCTGTCTGGGGTGACAGACGTGGGCCACGTGATGGGAAATGTGAGGGAAAGTCCCTAAGGAGAGGCCCAAACCCTTTACCAGCATTAAGCAAGAACGCCTGTCCTAAGGAGAGCCACTGGGCTTGCCACAGAGGACTGGTATCTCTTGCATGCCTTTGGCCAGAAGGGGAACTGCCCTTGCATGAGGCAAGGGCATGATGTCCATACAATCCTAGGAAGAAACTCCTCTCTGTTTAAAAATCACACACATTGGCTATTATGTTTCTGCCAAAGAAGAGAGAGTCAAGTCTCTGGGGAGGAGAGATGTAATTGGATATCCAGGGAGGCCCAACAGCTGTCTGCTCATACCAGCTGGTCTCACTGCTGACGGGCGTGGGCCCAAGGCCTCCAAGACTGCCTAAGCCGTAAGAGCTCCAGAGTGCTGGACCACTGGGACAAGCAAAAGCATCCACCCGTGGGCTAAGGGCAAGGGCAGGTAATCCCCAGGTGCTTCTGGGATGGAGATGAGGGAAGAGAGAGGCAGTAAGGTCTTTTGGGCCAATCTCAAGTCTTTGGTGTCCTGCAGCTTTGATCTCATTAAAAACAGAAGATGAAATAAACAGACTTGCACAAAAAGGAAGGCAAACTGTAAAACACGTTGGGACAAGTACAGGCCAGCCCATTAGGCTTCAACCTGTGACCTTGTAAGGCTCACATTGTAAGTGAGGCCACCTCATCACACGGCTGTAGAGACTCCTGAGAACACTGTGGCAGGGACGGAGGCAGCCTTCACAGGCTGTCCATGATCAGTTCTGAGGGCTAACTGCTGTTTTCCCTGCTCTGGAAGAGCATAAATGATCCACAGATGGTCTTCCTACGTTACTGTATAAGTACCTGGCTCCTATGGTGGCCAAGAAATTTCATCTCATAAGCCAACTCCTAACAAACAAATGCCGCTTGCACAGGCATCGTTCAGGGCAGCATTATTCATGCATGAACGTGGCCAAAGTGGAAAGTGTATTCATCACCAAATGAATGGAGAAACAAAGTGTGGGTATATCCATACAATGGAATATGATCAAGCCATAAAAAGGAATGAAGTTCTGACACATGCTGCACCATAGATGAACCTCAGAAACATTAAGCTGAGTGAAAGAAGCCAGACACAAAGGCCACATACTGTATGATTCCATTTATATGAAATGTCCAGAATGTGTAAATCTATAGAAACTGCAAGTAGCCTCGTGCTGGCTGGGGAATGGGGGAGTTGGGTGGTGAGAGACGAGGGTACAGAGTTTCTTCTTGAGCTAATGAAAATATTCTAAAACTGACTGTAGTGATGATTACACAACTTGGCAAATATATTAAACTCTATTGAGTTATATCCTCTAAATGGGTGAAGTGTATGGTATGTGACTTATACGCTCAACACAGCAGCTTTTAAGACTTAGAAATGATTGCCTGGAGCTCCCAACTGAGAATGAGGTGGTGAGCTGGGCTCAGTGGGCAGAGTCCCAGGACTGCTATCCTGTCATAGGCACGGGGTGGGGAAGGATCATCGTGTCATCTCAGGCTTGCGGGGACAGAAATGCTCCTCTGTCCTAGGAGGTGCTGGGACGGCTAAGCTGGGCATGTGTTTGGAAGAGGATGGCGGACTCGGGGGAATAGGTCCGGATCCTTCTCCGAACCAGGGGAGCTTTCACACTCATTTGCAACAGGCTGGATGGGGACTTATTTTCTAGGTCTTAACCCATCAGAGAAGAAGGGGCAGATGCTGGAGAGCCCCAGGGAGGAAACCCCTGAGCACAGCATGCCTGCTCTAGGCTCTGACCACCAAGCCCAGATCAGGGGCGGCCTCGGCCCATGACATAGCTTCAAGGCAGCTGACGTGCACCGAGCCTAGGTGGGTGCCAGACTAGGTCTAAGACCCGGGTGAGTTCACAGGCATTCCGGGTGGAGCGCCATGCACCCGCAGCCCCAACCCACATGCACCACCCGCCGCCTGGTCCAAGCCCCTAGATGCCCCCCGTTTTCCTCCTGGGTCTGGAGGCCCCGGGCTGGAAGGAAGGTCCGCCTGGGTGCAGATGCCCCGTGCTCTGCGGCTGCCCCCGCCCCCAGGCCCCGGCAGAGGCGAAGGCACAGGCAGGCAGGCGTTACCTTGGGCTCAGACAGGGGCTCACACTCCCTGGTTGGTTTTTTGCTGGAATCGCCAGAGGGGAGGGAAAAGGGAAGTGAGAAGGGACACTTGGCACCCATGGCATGCCGGTCCCCCAACCCCCAGAGACACTCAGACCCCAAACACCAGCTTCACGGAGCTGTTGCCAGGGTGGTCAGGAGCAGGACACTCCCCCCCGACTGTGAGACGTTTTGGGGGGTGGTGGTCCCATGAGTGAGACTCGCTTTGCTCACTCATCATGGGGCCACAATCCCACCATCAAGCATGCATACTCTGCGGTCTAACAGCCTGATAATCAACCATTCTCCACCTCTGTTAAAATGCATGTACCCCCGGAGAAAGGTAAAAGTTCCCTGTGGTCAGTCAAGGAGGCAGGCTGGGTCCAGGGTCGGGCAAAAACCAAAGCCAGCAGCTTTGCTCTGACTCCCCTAGAGAGCCCAGCAGGGCTGATCTGAGTCTGGACACCGCTGCTGAGAGAATGGGCCAAGAGAGGGCAGGGCAGGGCGGCCTCCAGCTCCCCACCCCAGGGATACTCACCTGAGCAGGTTTCCAGGCGCTGACAAGGAACGCTCCTCCCGCCGGCTGCCCTCAAACGGGTTCCCGAAGGAGCGTTTTCGTATCATGGTCTTCACCAGGATCTGGAAAGGAGAGGAGGCTCAGCCACCTAGGGGTGGGGGGACTCCAGGCAACAGCCTCACTCGTGCCAGAGCACAAGTCTCCCATCTTCGTCCCTTCCCCTCCCCTCATTCCCACCCCCCCACACACACACCCTGCCCCCTGCCAGTTCCCAGGACTGATTGCTGATGGCGAGCCTTTGCGAGCCTTTGAGAAACACCCACCCAGGATACAGGAGCCGAAGCCATCACCAAGTCTCACTGGCCCACAGCCAGAATCTTCCACAGCTCCCTGGTTGTCAACAAGATAGGTCTAAGCTCCGCAGTCTGACATCCAGAGCCTGTCAATCTAGTCTTGGCCTACCCGATTGCAGGAGAGCTGGCCTGCACCGTTTGTGCAGTGTCCGTGGCACCATCTGTCTCACCTGAGCTATCGCTGGACATGCCCTCCTGGCCCGTCAACCTGTCTCCTCTTCAAGGCGAGGCTTTTACTGTCGGTGAAAGCCGTCTACAACCACCCCAACAGGCAACCAATTACTGCTTCCCAGGTACAATCTGAGAGGGAGGGGGATCACTGCACTTTTAATTATTTTTTTCATCTATTTTTATTAGTTGGAGGCTAATTACTTTACAATATTGTAGTGGTTTTTGCCATACATTGACGTGAATCAGCCATAGATTTACATGTGTTCCCCATCCCAATCTCCCCTCCCTGCACTTTTAATTTAAATGTAATTCACACGGCTTAAAATTCACCGCTTTAAAGTGTACAGTTCAATGGTTTTTAGTATATTCACAGCACCACTATCTAATTTCAGAACATTTACATCCGTGCCGAGAGAAACCCAGTACCCATTAGCAGCCGCCCCCGCTCCTCCTCCCAGTTCCTGGCAACCACTGATCCACTTTCTGTCTCTCTGGGTTTGTCTTTTCTTATATCGTATAAATGGAATCATTCAGTATGTAGCCTTTGGGGTCTGGCTTCTTTCACTCAGCAAGCATGATGTTTTCAAGGTCCACCATGTTGCACTGTTTTATTCCTTTTTATGGCCTGGTAATAATCCTTTGTGTGTATACACCATATTTTGCTTATTTGTTCATCCATTGGTGGATATTTGGACTGTTTCTACTTTGGGGCTATTGTGACTAATGCTACTATGTACATCTGTGTACAAGAGTTTGTGTGGACATACTTTCCACACAAAATGTTTTCATTTCTCTTGGGTGTACACCTAGGAGTGGAATTCTTAGATCATCTGGTAACTCTCTGTGTAACATTTTAAGGAGCTACCCGACTGTCTTACAGCGGCTGCACCATTCCTCCCAGCAGCAATACAAAAGGGTACCAGTTCCTCATGGGGGGCTGCATTTTTGTTGAGGATGAGAAGCTTTGGTCCCATTCTAAGGAGCTGAGGAGACATCCCAGGATACGGAGGGTAGCCCATCCACAGGTTGGTGTGATGTGAGGGCAAGAGAGGTCAGAGGTCCTGAAAGCCCTTCTAAGCCTGAGAGGCGCTGGGAGCCGGCCTGTCCATGGCCGTGAGACAGAACTCTTTGGGGTCCCCCACCCCGCCCACCGGGAGACAGACAGGGTCCGCAGCTTGGTTGTGAAACACCTGCCAGAGGAGGGGATCTTTGAGGAAAGGGTCAATGTCCCTCCATCATGTCCCGCAGGCACTGCTCAGCTTCTCCCCTCTGCCTCCCAGTCTGCCCCTCAGCCCATCCTTTCTTTTAAAAAAAGTTAATTTGGCTGCATTGGATCTTTAGTTGTGGCTCAAGAGGGTCTTCACTGCATCATGTGAGCTCATTTGTTGCAGCGCACAGACTCTCTAGTTGGGGCGCATGGGCTCCAGAGCATGTGGGCTCAGCAGTTGGAGCACAAGGGCTTAGCTGCAGAAGCATGTGGGATCTCAGTTCCCTAACCAAGGACTGAACCCATGTCCCCTGCACGGCAAGGCAAATTCTTAACCACTGGACCATCAGAGAAGTCTCTCGCCCTATCCTTTCTGAAACCCATACCTGATTCCCTCACGCTGACTTGGTATCTGTCACCCATATGAGTTTGGAACTTAATCTGTTACGGACCACGGAGCCATGGAAGGTTCATGGTGACGCTTTTGGCTGCTGTAGTTCATGAAGGAATTTTCAAAGTGGCCTCAACACCTGTAAGGCTCTGGCCTCCCTTCCAAGTAAATTATGATGTCTCGTCAAGCTGTTTCATATACTAAGCCTCTGGACTTTTATAAAAAAGATTTTCATGTTAAAGAGTAAGGGGAAGTATTTTTAAAAACCACTGATTTACTAAAAGGTGGAAACCACCAAATGTCCATCCACTGATGAATAAAATATGCTCTATCCCTACAATGGAACACTATTCAGCCCTAAAAAGGAGTGACTGGGTACAATGTGGATGAATCTTGAAAACATCATGTTGAGTGAAAGAAACCAGATACAAAAGGCCACTTACTGTACGATTCCACTTATATGAAATGTCCAGAATAGGCAAATCTATAGAAACAGGGAATATTGACTAGTAGATGCCAGGGGTTGGGGGTGGTTGTGGAGGGAAGAGTGAGTGACTATCAACAGGTATGGGTTTTCTTTTGGGGATGATGAAAATGTTTCAGAACTAGAGATGTGATGGTTGCACAATACTGTAAATGTATTAAATGCCACTGTATTTATTGTTCACTTCAAAATGCTTAATTTTATATTACAAGAATTTGACCTCAATTTAAAGGAAGAAAAGAAAAATGCTGAGATAGAGAACGAAGGCCGTGCCCCTTGACAAGCACGCGTGGTGCCTCCCTTGCCAAGGCCCGAGCTCTGTGGTTCCTGGAACACAAGAACCCTGTTTCGGCCCCCCAGTGAGCCTGGCCAGCCCTCAGGACCCAGTGAAGCCTCCCACTCCCGCGCCTCTCCCCGCTGGCCTGTCACTGTATGGACACTCAGCGTGTAATGGCACCAGAGGGTGATGCTTTCTTTCCAGGTTCATCTTTATCAAGAGGCCAAGAGCCCTATGAGGGCTGGCACTGTCCCGTGCTCATCTCTGTAACCTCGTGCGTGGCACACACAGCTGAAGCCCCCACAGCCTCCTTGTCCCCCACAATTCAGTCTCCACATGGGACCTTCCCAAGGCCAACACTGATCATGCCACGCCCCTAAATCAAATCCTGCAGGTGCTTCCCACACTTCTGGGACCAAGATTTAAATTTCTGCTGTGGTCTCAGGACTTGTGCGCTCTGGCCCCACTTCCTGTCCAGCCTCATGCCACCCTCCTTCCACCTCCTTTGCCCTGTTTCAGCTGCCCTGACTTTCCTAAGGTTCGTCGTGGGCCTAGCCGCCTCCCAACAGAGGGTCGCTGCATTTGCTGCTCCCTTTTCAGGAACACCCCACCCTTTATTTACCCTCTCGGCCTGATGAACACCCCGCCATCCTCTCAGCACATGCCTTCCAGGAGGCCTTCTCCAACCCATTACCTGGGCTGCAACCCCCCAGGAGGCTCCCCTTGCAGCCCCTCTGTTACTTGCACATTTACTTCTTGGTTCTTTGCCCAACCTCCACAGACACCATGCCAGTTTTATTCACCTCTGTATCCCTGCTTCCACCACAGGCCTGAGACACCACTCAGTGTTCAAGAAGTATTTCCTGAGTAATCAAGGCCTCTTTCAGACCTCTAGGATCAGACGCCTTCTCCCAAGAATATTCACAAACAGGAACAGAACAACCCATGGCGGGTGCTGGGAGCCCAACGTCAGCTGCCTTCCCCACCACAGGCTCAGGACATGGGTGCGGTGGGTGGACTAGAAGGAGGGGGCGGGCGTGGGTGAGTGTTCAACAGTGAAGATCATGCAGAGGCCCCTAGTGGGGGAGGAGGAGGAGGATGTGAATAGGTCCCCCAGGGCTCAGGTTCTAGAGGGAGAGAGAAAGTATGTGGGGAAGCAAAGGGCGAGGTGCGAAGCTGGGAGGGAAGGAGCCAGCACTGGGGCTCCTAAGGTCACTCGAGGCTGCACATAGTATCTGGTCCCCCCGCCCAGAGCCCAGGGCCCTGCCTTCCGGGGCTGGTGCTGACTGAACACCTGGACTCCCCAGGTGGCCATGGCGAGGCAGCCCACTGGATTCCTCCCCTAGGGCTGTTGCCCAGCCCCCAGCCCCCTGAGAGTCTCCCTCCTGGAGTCAGACACCCTCTGGGCACAGCCTTGGCAAGTAGGTGATTCTCTGTCTCCAAGGTGATTCTCTAGCTCCATCTTCCTGGATCAGGACCCAAATTTAAGGCCATAAAAGGGAGTCCAGTAGCCCCTGAGCAAACACCCTCCTCCAGGAGCTGTGAAGAGTCGCCCTGGCAGTTGCCGACACTGCAGAGATGGGACGAGCTAAGCCGTCTGCTCTGGGAACAGGAGACCCAGTCAGGGGGTAGCCCCTCTTAAGAGACCTCGGCTCCAGCTCCCCCAGGCGCCTGCCTTGGTCCTTCTAAAGCTCCTCCTTCTCCCCTGGCCACGCTCTGAAAGCAGGAATTCCACAAGGGGCAGGACAGTCCTCAGAGAGGGGCTACCCTGTTTAAGTACCCTGGGACCCGGCTGCAAAGAGAACTCAAGCTAGAAGACGCAGGGGCCACCTGGCCCGCCACATGACCAAGGCCCAGGGGCTGGGAGCTGTGGGTGAGGAGCAGACCCGGCCAATCCCTGACTCTCAGGCCCAACACCTGCTTCTCAGCTGCCCGCCCGTGTCCTGGTTCGTCCCTGTCAGGCCGCCTGTGGCTCTCTGGCCCTGCTCTTGAGCAGCGGTTCATCCTGCCTTACCACGGTTGCCAGGCTGGGAATGTGTTTGACCGAATTCTCGACCTCCTCTTCGGTCACCTCGACCAGTGTGCAGTTCTCGTCCTCCGATGGCAGCGGCTCCGCCCCATGCCTCGTGACCCAGGGGTGCAGCTTCAACGAAGGACAGGAGGGGTGAGGGGCTGTTGCCACTGGCTCTCAGGGACCCTGCCTGTGAGCAGAGCCAGGGAGGGGATGCGGGAGGGGAGAGGCAGTGGCCTGAGGTCAGGGATGCAAGAGGGCAGGCAAGGCAGGCAGAGGGCGGGGGTGAGCCAGGTGGGAGGAAACATGAGACAGACGGAGAACGGGAGGGAGCCGCAAGGCCAGAATGTGAGACGGACCGGATTCTCCAACTCGCCCCATGTCTTGGCAAAAGAGCCTGAAATTTGCCATCTGCCTTGCATGGTTGTCCGAGGAGCACCCATCACTCCTCTGCAACTCTCTCTGATGCCTGGAAAGCTCAGTTCAGAGCAGGCAGCATCCTTCCCATTTTACAGAAAGGGAAACTGATGCTCGGGGTGGCGCAGGGAGATCACTGAGAAGAACACGATCGGGAGGGGACTTTGGCAGAGCTCTGCCCAACTACCTGCCCCTTGGATCCAGGCCTTTATCTGTAACCTTTGGGGCTGCCCCCTCTTCAACTGCTAGTTAGCTGAGTGCCTAGGAGTTCCTGAAGAAAATCTCTAGATTTCTGAAAGGTCCATGTGTGTGCACATGGCTATAAGGGATCAGTAGGGATCTTATCTAATGCTGCTCTTGCAACATAGCAGAATTCAGAAGGCCAGGGTCAGAGGTGGAGGGTCAAACTGCTCACTAACTTCCTCTCACACCCACTGTATTTTCTCAAAGGGATAGGAAGGGTCAAGGAATAGACCCCAAGATTTCGGCAGCCACAATGGAGCATACAGAGACTCTGGTCTGGTCTGGGGAGGTGGAGGCCATCAATCCAAGCCAAGTGGAGCAAGTGCTAGCTGCCCAGCTGGTAGCAGATCCCACTTCCACAATCACAGTGAACACAAGTCCCAAATCCTCCCCCACCAGCTCCCAGCACCCCAAAGGCCCCAGGGCATGGGAGGGTGGTGGTGCAGAAAAGGTTGTGGCGCTGTAAACAGGAATTGGGGCCTGACTGAGGCAGGGTTGAGCCAAAAAATCCCAAGCAGAGGACACAGGCTGAGCCCCTGGCACACACCCCAAGAGGCAGCAGGTACCTTGATCTCTGGCACCACGATCCTCGACTCAGGGTTCTTGTCCAACATGCGTGTGATCAGGTCCTTCAAATCCTCGGCTATGTCAGGCCTGGGGGGAGGAGATATATCAGGGGTAGGAGACGTCACCAAGGGCTTGGAGAAGGTAGTGACTTACAGTACATGGAGGATACTCACTGATCTGGAAATTCCAGGGCCTGACTCTTGATCTTACTGTGTAAACACATGATCCGCTCGTCCATGAACGGGCACTGCGAAGAGAGGTCAGGGACAGAGCGGCCATCAAGGGCTGGCACAGCTGTCCTGCAAGGGTGGGTGGCACTCCACATAGGTCACAGCAGAGAAAGGAACAGCCCAGTGGTCCAGTCCAGGGAGGAGGCAGTTCCCATTCCCCAGAGATCTAAAAGGACCAGGAGTGTCTTTCCAGAAGAGTTTGAGCCTTCCTAACTACACTGACTTTCCCCTGTAGCTGTGCTTTAATTTACCTACATAAAATGTTAGTCGCTCAGTCGTGTCTGACTCTTTGTGACTCCATGGACCACAGCCCGCCAGGTTCCTCTGTCCATAGAATTCTCCAGGCAAGAATACTGGAGAGGGCAGCCATTCCCTTCTCCAGGGGATCTTCCCAACCCAGGAATTGCACCTGGGGCTCCCCAACTGCAGGCAGATTCTTTACCATCTGAGCCATCAGGGAAGACCATACAGCAAAGACCAAAAGCAAACACTCATTTCACCCACCTGCCCTGTGAACATTAATAATACAAAGAACAATACAAAAGACAAAGCAGCTGTAGCTGTGATTGGTGAGGGCTCAGCCTGGGCCAGGCATTGTATTGAGGTTTCTCAGGACCAACATCTCATTTGGCTGTCACCTCTGCCTGGAATGTTCTTCACACCAGTATCTGCATGGCTTGTTTTCTCCCATCATTTAGGTGTCTGATCAAAGTTCAACCTCTCAGGGAGGTCTTCCAGAGCTCCTGTCTAAAATGGACATCCACTCCACCTCCATATGATTTCTCACCATCGCATCTCCCCTCCTGACATTATATTCGGTATGTATTTGGGAGATTTCCCCGGTGGTCAGTGGTTAGGACTCTGCATTCCCACTGCTAGGGACACAGGTTCAATCCCTGATTGGGGAACTAAGATCCCACATGCCACATGGTGTGGCCAAAACATAAAACCATATGTGTTTATTCACTGTTTAACTCCTGCACGGGAATGTTAGCTCCCAGAGGGCATGGATTTTTGTCTGTCTTGCTCACTGCTGACACCCAGTGCCCAAGAACATCCCTGGCACAAAGTAGGGGCTCAATAAATACCTGCTGAATCAATGAATGCTTGAATTATTTCTGCTGATCCTCTCAAAAGCCATAAAAAATAGTAAATAGTGGACTTCCGTAGTGGTCCAGTGGTTAAGAATCTGCCTGCTAATGCAGCAGACCTGGGTTCCATACCTGGTCCAAGAAGATCCCACAAGCCACAGGGGAACTAAACCTTTGAGTCACAACTACTGAGCCTGCACTCTAGAGAAAGCGTTCTGCAACTGCTAAGCCCATGTGACACAGCTAGAGAGCAGCTCCCACTCACCGCAACTAGAGAAAACCTGTGCACAGCAACGAAGACCCAGGGCAGCCAAAGATGAGTAAATAAATAAATAAATTTTAAAATAGTAAATATCACTCTCACTTTACAGAAGAGAAAAACCAGAAGCTCAGAGAGGTGCCATGTCCTAGGAAGCATGAAACTGGGATTTAAGCCTAGACTGTACTCTGAAGCCTGTTCATGCACCACCTCCTGGGTGACAGGGTGATCGATCCTCTCACAGGCGGAAGGGCCTGACCCAGGAGGAGCTGAGGCATTGTTCCGGAAAAAGAAACCTTTATGCGGGGTGCTCAAAAGGCTGCAAAAGATCACAGAAAGTGACCTTGTCTACTCCTGTCCAAGGAAAATGATGCCATGCAAAACAATTACTTGAGATGTCAGGATGGCACAGGTGTATCCATTTGACAACTCATCAAATAGTACACTTTTAACATCTGTAGATTCCCTGATATGTAAATTTTAGCCCAAAAGAAAAAAAAGAAAGCCACAGATAGTGAGCTCTGGCTCATGACTGCACTCTGAAGCATATGTAAGAAGGTATAATTCTTACAACTTGACTACAGGGTTGAAAATTTTCTAATCAAATGTTGGGTTGTGGGGAGGAGATTATAAATGCCTTTACTTCTATGGAATCAATTTCTTAAGCTTTCCTCAACAGGAGCATAAGCTCAGGAGAAGGAATAATTCTCACTTTCACTGCTCACATAATCAGTCTGAACTTTAGAATTAAAAATAGAAGCCCCTAAATATGAGTAATATAAAAATAACAAAAGAACAACAAAATGAAGACAAATAGCACTCCCTAAATCAATAATGCCAAATGTTTTAAATTCCATTCCAATTCTATTCTTCCAACAACAGCTTCTAGGAACACTGGTGAGAAGAACATCAAAGCAGTACCGGGCTCAGAAATAAAGATTGCAGTTATTGATTAGTGATGCCTATCTCCTGTTTAGGAGTGGAAAGAGGTGCACATTTGCTGTCCTTGACCTAAATTCATCCACTGTATTTATAACCTCTAGAGCCTCTACCAAAATCCTGTTTTAGCAGGTTGTCTTTTCACAGATATGACTGTTATGTACAGATATGTACATTTGGGAAGGCACACTTTTTCATATGCAGATCTAACTGTGGAAATAAAATGAAATAACTTTTAAACGAGTAAGTTCTATCTCCCTGCAAGGGTAACTATTAGTCCAAGGAAGCCACTCACAACGCCCAGGACACAGGACACCCCACCTTACCTGACCAAACACAAAGCAGTACAGTGTCACACCCATAGCCCAAACATCCAGTGCCTGCAAGAAAAAGAGAACCCAGTGTGAAGGGCAAGGGGCAGTAAAGGGCATAACCTTCTTTCACCTGTCCAGGATCCAATCCTCCAGCTTTCCTCTGGGGAAGCACCACTTTTTGACTGCTCAGTCCATGGGAGTTTGAATGGGGCTGTTCCTGCCCATCAAACCCCAAATCTGACTGAGCACATGATTCCTGCCTGGCCAATGAAAGCGACACTTTCCCCAGGCAGTATGATTGGTTCAAGGATGGGCACATGACCCGGAACTGTCCAATCAGAGCAACACTTCGTCAGGCACAGTGATTGGTTCAAGGATGGGCATATGACCCACACTGGGCCAATTACAGCCAATCCTAGGATTTTCACTTAGTCCTACAGAAAGAAAAATGCTCTTTCCACTGAGGCTTGTAAACTGGTAGAAAATAGCCTAGAGTTGCTAATGACCCGTTCACCTGGGGAGGAAACCAATTCAGGAAAACAGAGGTGAGAGATGGAGAGACAGATTCCTCTTTGAACTTCTGTATCTAGCCAAGCCTGAGGCCAAAAGAACCCCACTCCTCATCCACAAATCACTCTTTAAGCCAGTGAGTTAGATTTTTGCTACTTACAACGGAAAAGACCCTAACACAGGCAGAATTGCACATCTCAAGCAGGTCCAAACCTACCTTCCCGGAGAAGATCTTCCGGGTTTCCGAGAGCGATTCAGGAGCCATGAAGGCCGGCGTGCCCACAGTGTTAGAGAGAAGGGCATCGCTGCCCTTGAACTCATTGCTCACACCAAAGTCCGCGATCTTGATGTGCCCATCTTCTCCCACCAGCAGGTTGGAAGGTTTGATGTCCCGGTGGATGATCTTCTGGTAGTGTACTGGGGGCAGGATGGGAGAGAGGGGACAGAAAATCCACATGAAGAGCTCCATGTGGCCCACACAGCCCTGACACACAGGCAGGAGGCCCTCTGTTCTTCCAGGGTCCCAGGCCCTTCCCAGCCTTCCCCTCCCAAACCTGCGAAACACCCACAGCTCTGAAAGTTAAGGGAAATGTCTCTAAGGAAGCTTTCCCATCCTCCAAAGTGAGACATGAAATACTGACTGCCAATAGTAATTGGTAACCGCCTACCACAGTCTAAGTCATGTGTGCATGGAGAGTTTTTGCTGAGCCTGGCTCCCAGCTAGAAGCCTCAAAACTTGTGACAGTCAAGCATGTTTTCATTTATTAATGCCACCTCACAACCTGTTCACCAAACCAACAATGACTGGAGCAGGTCCGATTTGAAGTATGAAGCACAGCAGGACTGGGACTTGGCTAATGGTTCCTGCCTAGGTGTCCGCCCATGGGCAAGGACAATCCTACAATCTGGAAGATCCAACTGCATTTCTGAGGTGATGATGATGATGATGATGATACTGGTAACAGGAGCAGCAGCTACTTTTACTGAATGCCAGGACTGGGCCCTCACCCTGTGTTAAGTGCTTCCCATTCACCCCATTTCAGTGTCACAACAATCCTGTGTAATAACAGGCAAAGGGTACGAGTTAAAATGTTTAACAACCAGTAGCAGAAAGGACACCCTGCCAATCAGAACACTGATGTCCTGGCTGATTTTAGACCTTGTGAAAGATATTTTATTCCCATTTTACAGATGAGGAACTAAGGTTCCCGGAAGTTAACAGGATCCCAGGGTTGTTGGGAATAAGGGGTGATGCTAGGAAATTAACAGTGCCTGGTAGAAAGAACTGGATAAACAGTCACTAACACTATTGCTCTTAGTTCTTCTGTGTGGCCAGAAGAAGGGTTTCTGCTTGGAGGGGGTGTCGCCATAGCTCAGGCAGTTCTGTTTCCTGCCCACCTCCCTGTGCTCCAGGAGGGAAGTAAGAAACCTTCCACTTTCCATCCACTATCTGGGAACGCTAACCACCCCCTGGGTGAGAGTCCTCCTGTGGGCCCCGCTTACAGTACTCGATGCCTTTGATTAGATCCTGGAAGTAGAAACGGGCCTGGTCTTCAGAGAGTGGTTTGAGGGTGGGCACTTCCATCACAGGCCTGAAAGGTCAACACACGCATGAAAAGCAAACCAGACACACCAGCCTTGGCCCCCTCCTACCACCTCATTCAGCTTTGCAGCTCAAGAAGCTTCGGGCCCCATACCTGCTGGGAATGGGGACACTCACCCTTGGTTGACCAGTTCAAACACTGTAGGATAGAGAAGGGGGTGAATGGTTACACTGGGAAAATGGAAATCCATCTTCCTCCCCTCCTCCCCAGCTCCCAACCACCCCTAGAAACACTGAGAAGCACTGAAACTAACATGGGGGCTGGGGAGGGGAACAGTCCACTGAACCAAAACCACAGAAGGTTCTGCTTTTCTAAGTTCCCATCAGGAGGCTAGGGGTCAGAGATTTCTGGTGTCCCTGGGACCCCAGGCTGGCTATACGTCTGGTCCTCAAAACAGCTGACGATCCTCTGCCAGAGGAGACAAAGCAAGGAGACTGGAAACAGGCGGGGGCAGCCTCTTTCATTGTCTTCTCATACCTGGGTATGGGAGAGGAGTCCCAGGGATACGACTGATGCTAAACTATGTCCTGTCACTCATCCACGTCCTGAGCCAAAGACCTGCCAAAGAACAGGTCTAAGGGGCAATAGCCAAAATGTGGATTTACGTGGACACAAAATCAGCAGCCCTGAGGTCTTCTGAACCCTAGCAAAGTTTTAGTTCAAGAACAAGTTTCAATGACCCCTCTCACATTTTCCAAGCTGCTAGGCTGTGTCAGGCCACGTAAACCAAGAATTGTTGGATAATGTTGTTCCAGCTCTTTAGCACTCTGTGGCCAGCTGGCCCTCAAACCTGTGACTTCGAATCAAATCAAGACTTGGAGCTAGAGGTGGGGATGGTGATCTCCCCACCACCTCAAAGGCCAGCTGATTCTGTTCCTCCTAAACAGGGCCTTTCTTGATTCACTGCCTGCTAGCTTCCTCACAGCCCTGTGTATGCGGGATCCCCCGCCCCACCATCAAGTATTAAATACACTACGTTCAGGGAATGCATGGGGTTTTTGTTGTTGGAGGGGGGCAGTATTTTTTGCATTTCTAAAAGTTGAGGTGAAATTTCAGAACATACAACTATTCTAAAGTGCATGATTTAGTGGTATCTAGCAGTCCACTGCCTCCAGGGCAAGCATCACCTCTATCTAATTCCAGCACATTTTCAGTCCCCTAAAAAGAAACCCTGTGCCCATTAGTAGTCACTCCTCAAACCCCTTCCCACAGCCCCTGGCAACCACTAATCTGCTTTCTGTTTCTATAGATTTGCCTATTCTGGACATGTCATATACACTGACTCATACAATAAGTGACCCCTGGTAACATGCTTTTTCACTTAGCATGTTTTCAGAATTCATCCACATTGTAGCATGTATCAGTACTTTCTTCCTTTTTATAGCTGTATAATATCCCATAGTGTGGATATGCTACATTTTGTTTACCCATTCATCAACTGATGAACAGTTGGGAAAATATTTCCACATTTTGGCTATTATGAATAATGCTGCTATGAACATCCATGCATAAGCATTCCTGCACAAGTGTTTATGTGTGACTGTTTTCAATTCTTTGGGGATACCTAGGAGCGGAATTGTCAGGTCATGTGGTGTAGTTATTTTAATTTTGTTCTGCTTGAACAGATATAACTGGAACTATGAAGCTGTACTTTAGGAAATGAAAAAAAAAAAGCACAGTGGATTTCAAAGTCCCATGGAAAATTATTTTGAAGTTTTCTGTTTTCTAGAAGCACACACTGGAGCTTCTTACAGAAGAAGGGGTATTTCAAAGCTGTCCAAAGGCTGAGACGGCCAAAGGGAAAGAGCCAGTTCCTCAGACAAAAAGAAGGCTTAAAGGTTCAGATCAGAAAAGGAACTTAACTACCCCAGGGCCCCACCCTGTTTTCAGGTTCATCAACCAGCAATGGCCAAACCTGAGTTAGGGCAAATCTGCTGTGGCTTCAGGCTGTGGTTAGAAGCAAAGGCAAAGGCTCTGAAGGTGAGGCTCCCACCAAGAGGAGCCCTGGGCCCCTCAGCTCCTGCTTTCCCACCTTGTAAACTTAACTTTCAAGAGCTGCTTCATGAATTTCAATGCTTCCTCCCAAGCACCAAAACTCAGTTGGCATGAGGGAAGCTGGCCTGTTGAAACAGGTGTATTTTCAAGTCGTTCACAGTTCAACCCCTCCTGGGCCTGAGTGGCAGGTGGGAAGTTTTTAACCCCGAGAAATACTGATCATGTTCTCTACCCTCTGAGAGTCAGGCCTGCAGGTACAGAACCCTTGCCGATATCTGCTAACTGGCTTCACACACTGCCCACTCTGTCCTAGCCACACACAGCTATGGCTGGAAACTAAAAAATAAAGTTATCGGGATAGTTTCAAAATCACTGGAATCAACACACCAAAACCACACGGCTCCTTCCCACTTTGCCACCTCAAGAAGTGAAAAACTCTGTCCATGAAGCTGCCTGGTCCAAATGGCTTAGGCAACTCCTCTTGGAAGCTTGAGTCATGTTCTTTACATAATCATTCAACTCCTCAGCTCAGTACCCTCCAAGGGGGTCATGCTTGGCAGTCCAGTGGTTAAGAATCAGCCCTGCAATGCAGGGGATGCAGGTTCAATCCCCGGTCAGGGAACTAAGATCCCACGTGCTATGGAGCAACTAAACCCACATGCCACAACTAGAGAAGCCTGCATGCCACAACTAAGACCCAATACAGCCAAATAAATAAATATAAAAAAGAAAAAAAAAAAGTCCTCCAAGAGCCCCCTTCTCTCTCAGAGTAAAAAGGCAAAGTCTTACAATGATGTGAAATGCTCTCTGCCATCTGGTTCCCAGGGTCCTGCACAGGTCTCACCTCTGTGAGGCATCCCAGGAGCCACTGTTTTCCAAGCCTCCAACCTGGAACTCCTGACTCCCCTGGCCCTGCTCAGGTTAGCTTTTGTCCATGGTGCTGTCACCTTCGAGCTTCCCTGGTAGCTCAGCTGGTAAAAGAATCTGCCTGCAATGTGGGACACCTGGGTTCAATCCCTGGGCTGGGAAGATCCCCTGGAGAAGGGAATGGCTACCCACTCCAGGATTCTGGCCTGGAGAATTCCACGGACTGTATAGTCCACAGGGTCACAAAGAGTTGGACATGACTAAATGACTAACACACAGCACAGCTGTCACCTTTGAAGCCTATGCCTAGTAATACTTAGGTCGAGTGTATCCATCTGCCCCCATCAGAGCACTAAAATGCCCTGAGGGTGTGGGGCCGGGGTTTTTCATTCCCTGAAGATCAGGGCCTGACAAACCGTGACATTTGTTGAATGGACAACCCACCTCCTCAAAAACAGCTCAAAGCCATTCAGAGTCAGGTCCGGGGCCTCAGGTGAGCGAACAATGCTGGGGATGCCATTCTGGGCCCCAAATGACCTTTTATATTTTGTGCTTTCTTCTGTGTTCCCCCAAATTTCACTCGTTTGCCTACCATGGTTATAATCAGGCTATATCTATATACTATGTAAACAATCATTTATTTCACACTTTTAAATTGATTTAGTATGAAAACTTTTAGTCTTATCTCAGGTAATAAAACCTATGAAATCATGAATTTAGTGTGCTGGTTATAGTTTTTCCTATACAAATGGTAAAATAAGTCTAAAAAATGTTTTAAAAATGGTTGTCCATATACCACCTAAAATGATCTCATATATTTATTTTTTTCAAATCATCTTTCTTTAAAAATTTTACTTATTTTTGTCTGTGTTGGGTCTTCATCACTGCACACGGGCTTTCTCTAGTTGCAGCAAGCGGGGGCTACTCCTTGTTGCGGTGCATAGGCTTCTCATTGTGGTGGCTTCTATTGTTACAAAGCACATGCTCTAGAGCAAAAGCTCAGTAGTTGGGGCACATGGGCTTAGTTGTCCTGCAGCATGTGGACATTCCCGGAGCCAGGGATCAAACCTGTGTCCCCTGCACCAACAGGCAGATTCATTACCAGTGGACCATCAGGGAAGTTCCTGTCTCATATATTTAAAGTGGTACGGGTACCACATTGAGAAATTGTGACTCTGTGATGTTCATATTTTTATACGAATGTTTCACAATTTTTTAAAGTTTTCATATCTGATGGTATTTATTGTGTACTTCTAAAATGTTTCTAAAGGAAGGTTTTTAACGTTCTACAATTTGAAGACGACCTACACACTAGATGCTCCTAAAGAATGGGCATTAACTTTTCAGGTGCAATAATGGTATTGTGGTATTGCGAGGGCTGCCCAGGTGGCGCGAGAGGTAAAGAACCCACCTACCAATGCAAGAGACGTAAGAGACGTGGATTCAACCCCTGGGTTGATCCCCTGGAGGAAGGCATGACAATCCACTCAAGTATTCTTGCCTGGAAAATTCCATGGACAGAGGAGCCTGGCAGACTACAGTCCATGGTGGTGATGGTTTAGTCGCTAAGTCATGTCCAACTCTTGCAACATGCTGTGGACATAACCTTCAAGGCTCCTCTGTCCCTAAGATTTTCCAGGCAAGAATACTACAATGGGTTGCCATTTCCTTCTCCAGGGAATCTTCCCAACCCAGGGATCGAACCTAGGTCTCCGGCATTGCAGGCAGATTCTTTACCGACTGAACTACCAGGGAAGTCCCTACAGCCCATAGCGTGGCAAAGGGTCAGACATGACTGAAGTGACTAGGAGATGCAGGCTAAAGTTTTGGGGAACTAATGTGTCAGGATGTCTGCCACTTTACTTTTGGGTGGTTCAGAAAAAAAAAATAGAGAAATGGATGGGTGGGTGGCTAGACTGATAAAGCAAATATGACAAAAAGTTACTAACTATTGAATCTGGGTGATAGGTAAACAGGTATTCCCTGTACTCTTCTTTCAACTTTAACATTTTTCATTATAAAACCTGGGTGAGGGAACTTCCCTCGTAGTCCAGTGGCTAAGATTCTGAGTTCCCAGATTCAACGCTATGGTCAGGGAACTAGATTCCATATGCCACAGCTAAGACACAGCACAGCCAAATTTAAAAAACAAACAAATACCTGGGTGGGGGCAAGAGAAATAAAATGTCCTAAGCAACAACAGCATCCTTAGAATGAAACCATAGCAACTACTTTAGGGGAAACTGAGCTCTGAGCTCCAGTTCCAAACCAGACCCATTACTTTATGATTCATCACTCCCTGTGCAGCAAAGGATCGTGCTGTGCTCATCCAGGAGACATCTGGATTCCGGGCGGGGCTTGGCCCTGCCCACACCACTCATCTCCTTGATACCCCTCCTGACTGTCATCTGTACCCACTTGAAATACACAAGCTTGTCTGAATGCCTCCCCCAGCCACACATCACTGGGACACGTGACCTGCTGATCATGCCTAACGGCCTGATAGTCTGCTATCCAGCTTTGCATGAGTCTTGCTCTTCCCTTCCTCATCAGTGCTTATACTGAGAACTGAGCGCTGTCCTGCGTCCCTATCATTTTTTAAAAATGAGGTCTCTGAGGACATACCTGAGTCCTTCCAGGTCTGTGTACAGGACACTTCAACAGCTCCTCAAGGCTCCAAATGCCCCACCATGGCTACCCACCCCCACCCCAGGCCCTCCATCCTCACCTTCCCTCCCTCCCTGGTTTTCTCTCCTGCAGCCACATTGTTTAAACACTAAGCTGTCACCAGTCTTGGGGCCTTTGCACCTGCTGTTTGCTCCATCTGGAATGCTCTTCCCCAGATGTAACAGGGCTGAGTCCTCGACATTCAGGTGCTAAATGCTCACCTCCTATCTGCAGTGGCCCCTCCATCTCTCTCTCTCACATCACCCTGTTTAATCTTCTTCAGAGCATCAGTCTGAAGTTGTTCATCTGCTTTATTTACAGTTATCCCTTGGTATTCATGGGGAATTGGTTCCAGGAACCCTGTGGATACCAAAATCCACAGTTGCTCAAGTCCCTTATGTAAAATGGTGTAGTAGTTGCATATAACCTACACACATCCTCCCCTATACTTTAAATCATCTCTGGATTACTTTATAACACCTAAGACAATATAAATGCTATGGAAACAGTTGCCAGTCTGTGCCAAATTCAAGTTTTACTTTAGGGAACATTCTGGAATTTTTTCTTTGTAATATTTTTGATCCACAGGTGGTTGAATCTACAGATGCAGAACCTGCAGACACAGAAGGCCAACTATAGTTGTTGACTGGCTGTTTTCCCTGATCAGAACACCAGCTTCATCTTTCTTACTCATCATTGCATCCTTAGTGCCTAGAACGGTACCCAGCACACAGTAGGTACTCAACAGATATCAGAAGACAGATGAACAGGACACCCAGATAAAGTCCCAGCAAGAACTCCTTTCCACCTCCTGCTTTAAACCTAGGGTGCAGCCTTCTGTGTGGGGCCCGCTGGAGCAGGAAAGGGTGGGAGGTACCAGGCGCAGGGGCTGGATGGAGAGTACCCCTGGGCTGTGGGAGGCGTAGCTGCCCGAGCAAGGGTGGCAGAAGGCAAGCGCTCTCTTACCCATGTACAGATGGTCCTCATTGGGGTCATCCAAGACCTGTTGGCACAGCCGCATGGAACAGGCCGGAGATGAGGAGCAGGGGAGAGGAAGAGAGAGGAAAAAAAGACATGAGCAGGGAGGAAGCAGCATCCACATGACTGCACTTGCCAACGGGAGGGCTGCGCTTTCCACTGTTTTTCCCAGTTAAGATGAAGGGCACAGGAAAGCGTGATCCAAATGGCCATCTGGAAAATAAGCGCTTTCTAGCCCAATCTTCAAGGGTTTTCCAAAGCACCCAGAAAGGAGGTTACATAAGGGAGGGGGCAGATTCCTCCCCTGGAAAATGTCTCAGCTTGAATAAGAATCCCACTTGTCTCCTAGGATACAATGTCAAATTTGTCAGAATTGTCAAAATTCAAATTCTGTCCCCATCCCCCTGCCCCAGCAGGAAATGATGTCCTCTTGCCTGGAACTGCTGCAGTGCCTTCTCTCTTTCACAGCCTTCCTGTTTTCACCTTATCACAATTTCTATCTTCCTCTCTTCAAAGGGCAGGCACCAGGTTGCATCCACCTCGGCTGCCTCCATGGTGCCCTGTACACGACTAGGGACCTAGCAGATGCTCAGGGAATGTCTGATGAGTGAACAAACAGGCAAGCTGTCAAAGGGTCTTGTTGGGAGCCCACACACCACAAGGCATGAAGGAGAAGGGAGATCCCGCCAAGACCCAACACACACACCAACCAAGCGCCCGTGAGTTTTCTCTAGGACGGCAACTCAAGCATCCACGGGTTGAAATTGTGAATTTGTTGTGACAGATGGAGATGGCCTGCAACTGCCATCTCTTCTCTTGGGAAGAAACAAAGGCAGGCTCCTGGGCTAGACTGATCCTCCCACCTATTGACACATCATATTCAACTTCCCCAGTCACCCAAGAGTCATAGGACAAGAACCCTGAAAAAGGGATGCACCCGAGGCAGAGGCCCGGGACAGCCAACCTGGAACCCCTAAGCCCTGCCCTTCTAGGAAAAGTCAGACCCAGGCACTTGCCTATCTAGAGTTCTGTTATTTTTCTTTTTTTAAAAAAATCACAGTAATGTAATGGGATTATTGTTGATTTTAAATGAATTAAAAAATATTTTTTTAGCTTCTCAATTTTAAATCCTAATGTGATAAATATTAATAAATATAACCCCCATAAGCAAAAGGTTTTTGCAATCTTCAATTATTTTTAAGAGCATGGGGTGGCAGGGAGGTTCAAGAGGGCGGGGACTTTATGTATATTCATGGTTGATTCACATTGTTGTATGGCAGAAGCCAATACAACATTGTAAAGCAATTCAGTTCAGTTCAGTCACTCAGTCGTGTTTGACTCTTTGTGACTGCATGGACTAAAGCAGCTATCTTCCAATTAAAAATAAATTTTTTAATAAATGCTTCAAAAAAAAGAGCATAAAAAGGTCTGGAGACCAAAATGCATGAGAAATGCTGATCTAGAGCAGTTTTATAAGTTTTATCAAAACATAGCCAGGCACATTTGTTTATAGGCAAACGGCTGCTTTTATGCTACGACATTTGTGTAGTAGAAAAAGAACTAGCTCCAAAACGACAAACAGGTAAAGGGCAAGTCTCAGTACTCCTCTGAGCCTCAATTCCTTCATCTGTAAAATGGGAGTAATAAATAGTCTAAGCAAGGGGCGAGGATTACACGCAATGACAGGGTGAAGGAGCCTGGAGAAGTAACCACCACTCAGCCCTGAGACAGGCTGCTGGATGTGACGTGGCTCTCCCTGGGAACCAGTGGTGCTGCACTTTGGTAATCACAGAGCCAAGGCTGGACCATCTCCCTCCCTCCCTCCCTCCCTCCCTCCTCCATGTCCCCCTCATCTCACCTCCACCAGCTTCACTACATTGGGGTGGTCCAGCTTCTTGAGGATGGCAATTTCCTGGTACACCTGCTCAATCGGGCCCCTGGGCGGGATGCAGCCCCCGGGGGCTGGTCGGGTACCTCGGGGAGGGGGGCGACCTGGAGGAAACATGAACCATCCCAGAGTCAGGACAAAGAGACTCCTCTGCAGAGGGGGACTGTAGGCAGGACAATTTTGGGGTGGAGGGGTCAGTCTCAGAAAGACTGGAGTGGCTGATGCCACCAGGGGCTTTAATCAGCCTTCTTTTCATCTGTCTTCTCTGATGCTAGAAACTAATGAGGCTGGAGACCCAGTTCCCTTGCCCAGCCTTCGGTTAATTCTCCTCTTCCTGTCCCGTGCTCCAGGTTACAGTGAGCATCAAAAGTTCACTGAGGTACAAGGAAAAGAAGTCTGGGGCCTAGTGGAGCAATCTCAACATTCCCTCTCTGGGGCTCAGTATTCCCACTCCATAAGAGGAACAAAAATATTATCCCTTGCCTCCACAACTCACGTGGAAATAGAGGAGATAAAAAAAGTCAGGGATAGGAAAAAAAGTAAGAACTGATGAGAGGAAAAAAAAGAACTTGCTTGGCCCAGTAGTGACTGATAGTCAGAAGGTCACAATGATGGAAAGGTCCACAGTGCAAACACTTACACTGCATATTACATGTAAGTGAAAAGTGAAAGTGAAATTTGCCCAGTTGTCCAACTCTTTGCGACCCCATGGACTATACAGTCCATGGAATTCTCCAGGCCAAAATACTAGAGTGGGTAACCTTTCCCTTCTTCAGGGGATCTTCCCAACCCAGGGATCAAACCCAGGTCTCCCACATTGCACGTGGATCCTTTACCAGCTGAGCTACCAGGGAAGCCCTATTACATGTAAGTAAGGATCTAAATGTGACTAACAGAACTGAATGTAAATGTGTCAGCCTTGAAAAGTAAAAGCCGAGGTACAGGTATCAGAAGTGGGATGTGGACCAAGGAAAGGCAAGTTCAAAGGAAAGAAACCTGCTGCATCTGCTGGAATAAGAAGGAAAGTGACAATGGCAGTGACAACAAGGTTGCTGAACATCCTGGCATCACCTCAATGCCCAATTGGGAAGACAGAGGAGAAAGGACTGGTTTAAGCTGTCCTCAGAGGAAGTCAGAAGTAAATGTCAGAAATTAATAAATCAAGAAATAATGACATAAGGATATTATCTGGCTCAGAGTTCAGGTACGCAGGATCAGGGTCCTGGTAGTGACAGGGTGGGGTTGGGGGATTTACATTTATCTACTTTCTCTTTTTGGCTCAAGCAGACATTTTGCTCAGCTCCACTGGCAGGGAGCTTATGCTGGAGCTGCCTCTGATATGCTCACCTACACCGGATCACATGCAGTAATTACCAGCTCCTAAAAAAGCTAAACGTGGTGGGTGGGGTGCCTATAGAGAGAGGGAGGAGTACAGTAAGAAACTTGTGACCTCCATTATACATCCTTCTGTTCTTTTGCATGTTGTAGATATAACGGAAATACCTTATGGTAATTAAACTTTGTAAATTCAGCATTTTAAAATGTGTAATACAATGCTTTTTAGTACGTTCACAAGGTTCTGCAACCATCACCACTAAGTCCTGAACATTTTCAACGGCCCCACTCCCCCCCAAAAAAAAACAAAAACCCATATCTATCATCAGTCATACCCAACTCAATCTTAACCCCAGGTTCTAGAAAACACTCATCTGCTTTCTGTCTCTGGATTTACCTATTCTGGACATTTCATGTAAGTGGAATCATACAATATATGGCCTATTGTGTCTGGCTTCTTTCAGTTAGTATGTTTTCAAAGTTATCTGTGTTGAGGTATATATCAGAATTTCATCCCTTTTATGGCTAATATTCCATTGGCTAGACAGACCACCTTTTGTTTACTCATTCATCCACTGACAGACATTTGGGATTGCTTCTACATTTTGGCTAGTTTGAATCATGCTGCTATGAGCCTTCATGTATGAGCTGGTGTGACTGAGTGTTTTTAGTTCTCTTGGGTATATATGCCCAAGAGTAGCATTGTTGGGTCATATGGTAATAGTACATTTAACTTTTGAGGAACCGCCAGACTGTTTTCCTCTAACGGATTTGTTTTTACTTGAAACCTATATTCCTTTCATAAATGTTTTTACAAGAAAATGAATTTTAAAAAACCTCAGCCAGAGGCCCAGCACTGTCTTTGGGGAATCCACCCAGGGCACACTCTGCAGGGGACACCATTCAGTGAGTCTTCCCTGTCTTGCCCCAGCCTCTGCCCCTAAAAACAAAGGCCCTGGCCCGACAAACTCACGTGGAAAGCCCGCCTGTCGGATCAGTTTCTTTTTGGACAGCACCTTCATTGCCTGTGGGAGAAAAGACCCCACATCCTGATTAAAATGGAGAGGAGGATGGAGGGAGAGTTCCTTCCACTCCTGAGCCTGCCCAAGCTCTCGGCGCATTAGCAGCCTTGGGACCATGCAGTGAGCACCTTGCCACTGGAATGGGTCAACTCCACGGGTTATGTGGAGGCTGGACTCTCAGGGTCCCTCTAGCCGAGAGGGTACTTCTAAGGTTCCAGATCAGCTCTCCCAACTGGGAGACCACAAGCCCTGGGATTGGCTACCATTGAATCAAGACATGAGTGAGCTGGCGTGATGGGCAAGGGATATTTCATATGTGGAGAAACTGATGTTTAGCATTTAGGTCATTGCCCAAGGACACACATCTGGCACACGGGAGAGTCAGGATATGAACCCACACTGGACTGATTCCAAAGCCTCAGAAACAAGGGCAATTTATCTCATGACCACTTAGTTCTTGGTGCTATGGAGGATGTAGAAAGGGCAGCCCAGAGAAAGGATATGAGATATTTGCTGAATTTATTCACTCAATCTTCCTGAGCCAATCACTTCACCTCCCCACTTCCCCACTTCCTTCCTAATGCACAAAATAAACATGACGTAAGAATAGAATAAGACAACAGCTAAGAAAACCTTCCAGAAAACCAAGTTCTGGATAGGAGGCCTTTTCTATGGGCAAGGAGGAGGGTCAGGAGGAGGATGTGGATACTCACGTAGTAGGTATTGTCATTTTCATTGTAGGCCAACTTGACCACGCCATACGAGCCCTGGAGAAAGGGAGATGCCCGTGACACAGTATCTAGAAATTATGATCCACAAAATAAGGACCCTAATACAGAGGTGACAAACTGGTAGCCTACTGGCAAAATCTGCCCTGTATTGTGTTGAAACTCTGGTTTTTAGAATGTTTGAATTAATGGCCAACATTTAAAACAGTTCAGATATAAAAATCCAGATTATGATGTGGATATGGAGTCATAATCATTCCCATGTGTTAACAGTTTGCCACAGTCCTCACCACTCCCTATTGTATTATACTTAGCATGCTTTTTTCACTTGTATTACCTCACTTGCTCTCTATTGGCATTTGAGTTTTTGAATTTTGATACTGTCCATTGATATTGTCCACTGATACTGTCCACTTGATACTTTTGATGCTGATGTAAAAGCAAAAACAGATATGAGAATACCTTAAGAAGGAAAAAAAACCCAACACCAATGCTGGTGATACAGAATTACTCTGGAAGCTTTGTGAGCTTTTATAGAAACACAGTCTGATGTAAAAATAAAACAAAATAAAGAAAAACAGACGGACAGTTAATAACAAAACCCTCCCCCTCCCAGCCTGTTCTCCAGGGATTCCTCGCTCACTCCCAGTTCTAGTGGGGCAGAGCCACAGTATCCAAGACATCCTTGGTAGGTAGGGAAAACCAGCCTGTCTCCTGGGATAGTTACCTTTCCAATCTCATCCTTCAGTGTGTACTGATTCAGCTGTACACAGTCCTGGAAAGTAAGTAGAAACGCATAGAATATGAATTGTAAATTCGTAGCAAGATACATTTTTCACAAACAAATGCCTTAACCAGAATCCAAGTCAAAAAAGGGACCATTCCTAGCTCCCCAGAAGCATCTCCCATATGCTGGCCCCTGTCCAGGATGACCATTATCCTGACTTCTAGCACCACAGTTGTTGGCCATGCCATGAAGCACGTGGGAGCTTAGTTCCCCAACCAGGGATTGAACTTGTGCCCACTGGAAGTATGGAGCCTTAACCACTGGACCTCCAGAGAAGTCTCTACCAGCACAGTTTTTTTACATTATGAGAGTGTAATCATATAGTATGTACTCTTTTAATACCCATTTTAAAGGTTCTTCCCACTTTTCAAAAGTTCATTTTATTTACCTATTTTTTAAAAGTTAAGGTAAAATTAAACAATAATCCATAACTGTGCTATTCTGTAAAAAAAATGCAAAGTGATACAAGAGGAGAAAATCTGAATGGCATTAGGACACAGAAAGGTTTCTTAACAGTTTCTGAAAGGGTCTCTTTTGTACAAAAAGTGCAAAATATAAAAGGAAACAAATGATAAATTGGATTTCAATCAAAAGTAAGACTTTTGCTCTTTGAAACACTACTAAGAAAACAAAAGGCAAGCCACAGACTGAGAGAAATGAATTGGAATACATATTCAAAGGACTGGTAGTCAGAATATATAAAGAACTCCTATAACACATCAGTTAAAAAAAAAAAAGGCTAAAGATTTTATATTTCTCTAAAGAAGGTACACAAATGATCAATAAGCACATGAGAAGATGCTCAGCATCTCATCAGGGAAAGGCAAATTAAAACCACATTCACCAAACTGGCTAAAGTGAAACAGACTAACCAAACCAAGTATTGTTAGAATGTAGGGCAAATGAAACTTTCAGAGGCTGGTGGTGGGAATTTAAAAGGTACAGCCTCTTTGGAAAACAGTTTGGCAAAACTTCTCAACAGGCATTTCCCATATGACCCAGGTGCTTACTCAAAAGAAAAGAAAACCTGTGTCTATGTAGAGACGGGTATACAAATGTTCACAACAGCTTTATTTGTAGTAGTCAAAAATTGGAAACCATCCAGATGTCCATCAACAGGTAAATGGATAAGCCATGGTATATCCGTACAGTCCAATACTATTTAGCAATAAAAGGAACGAACTACTGGTATGTGCAAAAACATGGATAAATCACGAAAATCACTATGCCATGAAAGAAGCTAAGCAAAAAAAAAAAGAGTACGTACTAAATGATTCCACATATATAAAATTCCAGAACTTGAAAGCTAATCTATGGTGATCAAAAGCAAGTCAGCGGGTACCTGTGAAAGGGGAAGTGGGGGAGGGATGTATTGCTGGGTGTGCTGGAAAGGTCTGGGATCTTGAGAGGGGTGATGGTTTTACAGATGTATACATACATCAGAACTGACCATACTGCATATCTGAAATATGTGCAGTTTATCTCACTTCAATTATACCTCAGTAGAGTCAGGGGGAAAATGTTACATGATATAGGAAACTGGGAAGAGAAACATGATAGCAAAACATCAACTGTTGCAGAGAAGCCCAACTTTCCCTTGAACCCCCTCCCAAGCCCCAATTCTATCCCTCTCCCCGAACCTTGATATCAGTTTGATGTATAAACTTCCAGGTCTTTTTCTGTGTACATGCACGCATACATGCACCTGCAGAAAATACAGAGTACTCTTTTGGGATGGGGTTAGGGGAGGCCTAAACAGTATCACGCTACATTAGCTCTCAACTTCCTTTAACTGGAAGTAGTTCCACATCAGACCTGTATCTTTGACCTGGCCAGGTCAGGCCCACAGAGCTCTCCCCTAACTGGTGGGCTTTTTAGTCTGTTTTATGTTTCTCTCCAGTATGGTTTCATTCCCCCGAGTACTGAAGGGATGTGACAGGAAGAGGTGGGGCCCTGCAGAGCCATCTTAGGGGGTCTCACTGCCTTTGAATCCAACCCCCACATACTGCTGAATTCATCTTAAAGAATCCACTCTGACCACATCAGCCCAGCTCTCTGTTGCTTCCAGGGTCAAGTCCTGACTTCATGGTCTGCCCTTCAGACCCTCGAAAGCTCTGACCTTGCAGAGATACCTAGCTGCCCACCAAATACCAGTCTCCTTTTTTCTTTATAACTGGAACACTGGGTGGCAACACTGGGTGGAAAATGTAGTTTTCCAGCCTGTCTTACACCTAAGGTGGCCATGTCACTATGTTCTGGCTACTGTGAGACAGGCAGAAATTGCTGGGTAGAGTTTCCAAGAAAGAGGACTGACTCAGGAGGCAGACAGCTTATGCCTTTCTTCCCTGTTCATTCTTCTTGCCTGGAATGGGGCTGTGAAGGCTTGAGCCACAGCAGCCATCTTGACATCATGAGGTTTTAAGGCCCAAAGCAACAACAGAATCATCTCACCAATACCCAGTGTCTAGCCCTATGCATTTATTTTACATGATAAATAAGCCTTATTGTGTTAAAGCCACAATTTGTTTCTCTAAGCTGATATAAACTGAAATTCTCCCTCCAGCCTTGTTGCCACAGTGTTCCCCTTTGGGTTCCCACACTCTCGCTAACTGAATCCCCAACCTATCCTGAATTCTATGGAAAAGAAATATGTTGGTGTACATAGCTGTACTTAGCTGGATTATGGTAATCATATTTTTAAAACTGAAATATTAGAGGAATGAGACTACCTCTGTCACCTAGGTGGCCTGTGGCCAGTTAATAAACTAGGAAATGAAACAAACAATAACAATTTAAAAATGGCCTTCTCCCTTGGGGTCTTTGCTCATGCTGTGCTCACTCCCCTGCAGTGAACTCTCAGTATGCACCCATCTACAACTGAGAAAATTCTACCTAGCCCTCAGAAGGCAGTTAAATATCAGCTCCTTTAGAATGTCATTCCGGATTTCCAGCCTTCTCCCAGTTAAATTTATTCCTTCTTTAAACAAATATTTTTGAGCCACCATGCACCAGGCACCATGCCAGGTGCTAGGGACCCTGTGGTGAACAAGACTGTTCCTAACATCCTAGCTGGGGGTGGCAGGGGGACAGGCAATAAACAACTTAACAGACACACAAATAATCACATGGTGACAAGTGCTATGAAGGACAGTCAACAGGACAGAGAGGGGCTGAAGGCTGCTTAGAGGGGGTGTCTGAGAGGCCTTTCCAAGGAGGTGACATCTGAGTTGAGATTTGGAAGCCAGACGGAGGAGGCCTTGAAGAGATTTGCAGGAGGGAGAGGTTTCAATCAGAGGGCACAAGAAGATAAAGGCCTAAGGGAGCGAATGAGCTTGGACATCTGAGGAAGACAAAGAAGTGGGTAAGGTTGGAGCCCTGAGTTGGCAGTACAAAGGTGGGAGTTAGGGCAGGAGGTGGGGTAGGGGTGGATCAGGCCCTGTGAACCAGTTGGGGATCTGAGTTTCAACCCACCTCTCAGAAGTTTATGGTAAAAATCATGGGAGAAGGGCACTTACAGTGCCAAGGACTCTTACTGACCCGTCAGCCCCATTCCAGAGTCCCTGGCACAACTTCTAACTGCCATCATGAGGGTCTCTTTGATAGAGGCTCTCTCTGGCCAGGAGATGCTCTGTCCAGGGACTGCCAGAAGCTGGTGTAAAAGGCCCAGCTCCCTAGCCCTCAAGTGGAATAAGTCTGGGGTTCCTGTCCTACACTGTCCCATAGGGCTGTCCAGAGGGGGGCCCCAGTTGTCCACAGTGGTAACTGGCTCCATCATGTATGTTTTATTGACATCTCTCTGGGTTTCCTAGGGTAGCCTTTCCAATCAACTGGTTGCACCGGGATCCTTCTTGGGGACCCCAGCCCAAGGCAGAGACATTCCGGGCGCAGGGTTGGGCGCCAGGGGCCGCCGCTCACGCACCTGCATCCCAGTGATGGAGACGTGGTGTGACTCCACCGTGGGGCGCCGGGGCAGCCGCGGCGAGGACTGCGGGGAGCCCACTGGCGAGTGGGGCAGTGCGGGGCAGACGCAGCGCCCATTGGCATCCAGCAGGGACCGCTCCTGCAGAGAGAGCTTGCGACTGGAGAGGAGGGGCCGGGCCTGAGACCCAGAGTTGTCAAGGGTGATCTCTCCGCCATGCGCCTGCAGGGGCCGGTCCCGGGGCAGGCCATGGTCCCCGGCGCAGGCGGGCTCACACTCGGTGACCACGATGAAGGACTCCATGCCCAGGCGGATGCTCAGGGAGGAGAGGCCCCGCAGGGCCTCACAGGGCTTCTGACCTTCGCTGCTGCTGCTGCCGCCCCCGCCCCCCAGCTCATCCTGGGGGGCGGCCCGGTCGCTGCTGGGCTGGCTAGAGACGCATGATGACATGGTGCATGTGCGGACCTCCTGCGACACAGACGCGCCCGGGCACTCCCATCCGGCAGCAGCGCCACCTGCAGGGAGAGGAAGGGTCAGCAGCCCCCACCCTGGGCGGCAGGGCTAGCCACAAGGGGTCTCTCCTGCCCGCCCAGGCCCATATACCTCATTCCTGCTTTGAGTTGACATCCTTAAAAAAAAAAAAAAAAAAAAAAACTTAGT